CCCCCATCCCACCCCTTTCCCCCGAGTATCTCCGTCTGTCTGCTTGGATGTTGTGTTCCTCTTAGTCCGGGATGGCCCTCGCAGTCCGGGTCGTAGCCCGCCTCCTAAATGATCAGAATAGTTTCGATGGGGGCGTACATGAAAAGCATCTTAATTTGGCGTATCACAAGGGACATACGAAATAGCTGCTTGTTGCTATGCATCATGTACTACTATTCTCTGTTCCCAGATTCCGTCTCTTCTTAGAGTGAAGTTAACTATGCTGTTTGCAGTTGAGAAACTAAAGAATTAAAATTTATAACAAATAACACCCCACCTTATCCAGTAAAGCAAGGAATTGAACCCACCTTCAAATTTCAAATCTAACGGGTTACCACAAGATTAGGACGCCATTTATTGACCGTTTCTGTTACAGGATTGATTTAACGATAAGCACTGATGATGTGACTCAACCCTATCGTATGATGACGCACGTACTGTAACCGCGGTGTCTGATAAAACGAAGGGACGGAAGGGGACATTGGGCACAATTCGATTCAGTGTGTTTTATCTTTCTTACAGGTGGTCTGCGTTGTCACGGTCACGCTTTTCGCTTTGCTCATAAATAATTTAATAGCAATAGCAGAGGTGCATATATAGTATCTTGTCATGCGGGGAAGGGATTTTATCAAGAGTTTCTCTCCGCCTGTCTGTTATTATACATAGTAGATCTAGTACATGTAATAGTAGCAGTGGACCTATGTAGATGATGAGCCTCAAAGTTTGAACGAGCCCGCCTCATGCATTATGTCAATGGTTGACAGTTTATGTCTATTTTTTTAAGAAGAGAGAAGCACGCCAGCACACCAATGACTATTAATTTGTTTGTTTGAATTACAAAAAGAAGCATTTATTTATCGACATAATGATGGTTTTAGTTTTTAACTTTTAGTAAGAGTTTTACGGCACTTGCAACACAATAAGGTCATATAAGTGCCGAAGATTAGAGGTGTTATAAGAAAGTAATTTAAACAAACACGAAATAGAAGGAGGGGAGATAGGGACGATAGATGTTTGATAGGAAAGACGGAGCAAACCGCACCATAGCACCCGCCAACCACCCGCACATGATGATATTTAGTGCAGGGGAAAAGTAAGACAAACAGACAGAAACAGCAGATGTCAAACCAAAAAAAAAGGAAAAAAAAAAGAAGTAGAACCTACCTATGGCACCCTCCAACCACCCGCAATGACAAGGAAAAGCAAGAGAGCGACATGAACAAATTGGGGAAAGAAAAGAAGCAGGGCCTATCAGTGGTGTCCTCCACCATCCACCGATAAAGACGTAGAAAAAGAAATGACAGTCGTTTACAATCAATCAATACCAGCTCTGTTTTCGTATTACATGTAATAGACATCGTTCTCAATGCCTCTAAATTATATAGTCATTGCCATTAAGTGATTGTCTTCATATTCATTTTGGGCCAAAACCAGTCTACCGGGTGATTCATTTTTTTCTTTCGGAAATGTTTTGTGCGTAAAGTGTAGGCCTAAAGTGTTTGGGTTTAGCGCCCATATCAACATCATTAGGTTATTTAAGAGGCGGGACCTCAGAGTTTAACGTCCATCTCCGAAAAGATCGAATGGGAATTTCGTATGAAGTGCCATACCCAAGGACACAAGGTCGGACTGAGCTCAGGCTCGAACCCCCGAACCAGCAACCTCACGATTCAGAGTCCAGTAGCCTGACCACTAGGTCAACGACGCCACTCGGGTACTCTGAAAAGAGCGGTAAACTGAAAGAAAAGTGAATTATCTCTGATTTGAGCAACTTCTCAAAATTGAAAACTCAGCTTTACAACCAAAAAAAATTCCCGCGTCCCACAGATTTTGGTATTGGGGGCATCCACAGTACTATGCCCATCTCATGAAATATAATACGGTATGCATCAAATGCAAAACAGAAAGAGCTGACACATGCACACAGATTAGTATCACAAGGAAAAACTGAAGTAAGATTATAATTTTATTGATCTCCACAAAGAGAAATTTGCAGTGGCTCTGTAAACATACACACACACATCCATCAACACATACATACACACAGTAACACACACACACACACACACACCACACACACTCTTTCGCTCTCTCTCTCTCTCTCAGTACTCACAGACATGTTGGGACTTTAAAGACCTATTTCTGGCTCATTTGCCAACATGAACTTGGTGAGGTCTATGGCATGGGTATGTACGACATCCTCCACAGTGGTTTAGTAGTTAGCACCTGCCGACATGCGGAAATTGTTGAAGTGCTTTTCGATGTCATCCTGGCGGAAAAATCCAATTGTTACCCACTGGTGACTGACATCCAAGCTTGTAGACTACAGGTAAAGACACACATCAATAAAAGCATCCCTCGTCAGACTTTACACTCGTGGGGTTGACAAAGCCTTCATTTGTAGGGCTCGTTCAGCCCACAATCATAGAATTTGAGAGGAATGTCTTCACAAGTCACTACAGTACAGCTCTGTCAACATCTCGGGAGTCTCACACTCTGGATTGGTGATTTAGTAATACTTTCCAGAACTGTAAAACTTCATCAATATATGCGCTGTGTTTTTTCCATGATGACGCTGAAGCTTTTGATGACTTGAAAGCAGCTGCAGTGCCCCCCGAGAAAACATCAAGCACAAGGGATACTTTTTGTTTTTCGAGGTTACTCGGGCAAACAGAAGCTCTTGTCACGCCGGACTGCTTGACAAGTGTGTTGGTCTCAGGGCCATATAAGTCACAAAGATCTGACCATCTAGCTGGTATTTTTGAATCAGAACTTCGAGAGTAAAACTGCAGGATCTGTGTTTTCTCAGTTACCCAGTTATTCTGGATTTTCTTAAAAGCAAATGCACAGTGTTTTACAACAGAAAAAGGAGTCTTGGTGCATCTGTGGGACACTGTACAATCCAAGGTGTTAAAGAATTCTGCTTAGGGAACATAAAAAAAAAACCCAATTGGTTCACCCTACAGTTGTCATAAACAAACAATACCCAAGACTTTTGCTCCACAGGCTTCAATACTTCTTATCACTTCATTCACGTGAGTGTATTGAAATTGGGCAGCAAGTGCATGGCAAGGGAGAAGTTTGGAGACAAAAGTCTTGACTCCAAAGGAACATTTGACCATATCAACACTTTCTTCAGTGGGTGAGAGCAAAGGTTATATTTGTGAGGCAGCGTGGTGGAATCAGGCTCTCGTCAATTTTTGGGCATGTAGAGTTATTGGTATTATCTTAAAGCTTGTTCACTATTCTTTATTTAAAAAAGGTGAAAAAAATATCCATTTATCTTGAATATAAGTCGAGATATTTGCGAAAGAAGGATGTGGGGGTCACTTGTTTTCAGAGGTAAAATTAGTGAGAAAATGGCCACCAAAGATTAGTTATTTCCTTAGCTTAAGAGTCCGTGGTAACTGAAAATTTACATTTTTTGAGCCTTTAATCATCGTTTTTCAGAAAAATCCACACAAAAATTAGTTCTTTAATGGGCATGAAAGGTGTTGAGCCAAAAAACAAAATTTGATAAAAATTCACAAACCTGTGGAAAAATGCAAGTTTCTTCACTTTGATTATTTTGACGAGAGCCTGATTCCACCACGTTGCCTTATATATTGTTCTATCTATCTGTGCTATTTCATGGCTCTACTAAATATTTAGAAAAAGAGACACTCATACTTATAGTTTTACATTGTAGGGTCACTGTGTTAGCATAGCATTGACACCTCAATTTCCCCTTGGTCAAATATGTGGCTGAGAATGAAGGGATAAAATGTAATTTATATTATATCCTTAACTTAATCCTGTCACTCCCAAGGCAGTCTCTGGATCTCTGGTCAATTCTCTGGTCAATTATGTTCGGTAAACAGCGAGATGAGCATAAGCTAGGTGCGCATTCAAAGTTAACTCTTTTACTCCAAAACTTGCTCCATAATCCTTCCAAAGAGCCACAGATATTCAAACGTAACCCTTTTTACTCCCAGAGCTGCTCTATTATCCCACAATCCTTCCAAGAGCCAGAGACATTCTCAAAATGGGCAGAGAAAGTATCAACTATTAGCTACTCTAAAATTACAAAGTTCTATCTGCTAAGTAACTAGTTTTGAGAAATTTGAAGTAAAAAATTTTGAGTTTCACAACTTGGCTAAGCTTTTTCGATTGCTATTCTTTGAATATTTTGATAATGGCTCCGAATAATCTTACGATTTTCATTTGGATAGAGCAGATTGAAAATTTCGTTTCTTACTCAAAACAGCCCAAAATGTCAGATAATGCTTAGTAATTCTAAGGTAGTGTGCTGTTACCCTATGACGTGAGACTGACAGGCAGAACCGTTAAGCTGAAGTTTATACCAGCAGTTTTTCTGGTGTCGCAGTTGAGACTGACGGTAAAAATATTTCTTTCCACATACACAAACAAACAGAGAACGGGAGCTACTATCAACATGTGTAGAACTTTTTGACGCCTCCTGCTGAGCATCAGTTTTCTGGGTACACTTCTTAATGTGCCTGTTAAATGAAGGTCTCCAGGTAAAAGATTTCTGGCACAAGGTACACGTGTATGGCATATGACTGTGTTTGGCTAAACGATGGTCTTTCAAAGAACTCAGTCTTTTGAATGAACAGCCACATGTCTCACAGATGAAAGGAAATGGTTGATCTTTGTCTGAGGGTGAACTTTGTGCCTGCAGATGTAATGGAATAGCCAATTTTGTACAGAACTTGCGGTGATTATACAAGCTGCTAAGGTACCTGTACTGTCTACCACAGCAGCATTTGTGAGGTGTGTTATTGTCATGTTTGTTCATGTGTCCTTCAAAACATTCGAGTCTTAGAAAACCTTTTTTACATATTTGGCACGTATAACAAGGGTTCTCATGAACTTTCTGCATGTGGGCTTTCAGTCTGGCTGGTTTCACTAACTTACTACAGTGTGGACACACAGCAGCGCTGTGTTCAAGGCAAACTTTGGCATGAGATTGCAGGTTGTGCTTGTGTCTGAACACTTTGCCACATATCTCACAGCTGAACATTTGCCCACCATGAATATTTCTGATGTGACGACGACAGTTACTGCCTGTGCTGAACGTCATATCACACGAAGTACATTTGCACTTCTCATTAGACTCAAAGGAGCCTCCTGTAGGTAAGGCTGAAACACCATTATCATTAAAGATTTGTTCGCTACGGTCTTCCGCAGATTGAAGAATAGCATCGCACTCAGTCTTTGGAGAGATGAGACTCACTCCATGATTAGGATTATCACAGTTTTCTTTGTACTTGATTTTACTCGTTTTCTGAAGTCGCTGTGAAGCTCCGTCAAGTTCAACATTAACTATAAATAAATCCTCTGTGCATATGTCGCTTGAAGCATCTCCACTTTCTGACACACAGCAAATGGCAGCGTTTTTCACAACTGACTTGTCCAGTGCAGCAACAGCCTCTGGGTGTGATGCAGTCAGCTCTGTTTTGGCCTGAAAGGAAAGTTTGAATCTCATAATAAAGAAGAGATACAGGCACCATGTTCTCAGGTAAAAATCAGTGGAATGGAAGTGACAAAATACTGTAATATGTTAAATACTACACTTGTGTTTTATGTTTTGCAACACACATACTTCAACATTTTCCTATATATTATTTATCATGTTATGATCTTCTCAAATAATTTTGACATACAGTGAAATCTATAGTCAAACCTGCCTAAGACTGTCCCCCGTGGTTTTATGTAGCCTACATAATTTTGCAAAATTATATCATTTTTTGAATAATTTCTGATTATTTTCCTTCATCATTCTTTGTTAAAATTAACAGAATTGCATAATTTCACATTTTTGGGCTCAGTTTGTATAATTTCAGAATTTTTCTTGCATAAAACGACGGGGACAGCTAAGATGGAATTGCAAGAAAACCTGAAAAAAATTCTGTCTTAAACATTTTCTAACTTGAACAGGAATCTATGGGGAATCCAGAAGTATGTGGAGGGACCAAGGGTCGCCTGTCCAATCGGCAAACAGTGGTCAAAACGTCATGTCTCTCAAGTGCTATCCAAACCTCTCCGATAATGGCATACATCAGTCTTACTTATCTATTGACCCCAGCGCTTGCTTCTTATAGGACCATAATTTGACCTATCAACAACAGAAATGATTGAACACCCATCAGCACCATTCAGGGCTCACATGAATGGGGTGAAATCTACCTTCAAATCACACCCTTATCCCCCTTCCTAGCCTGGCGACATGACGTAAAGGTTAGATCTGATGGAACCAAACTTGGGAGGTTTGTTTCAAATCAGCCCTGAGCGGGCAAAATATTTTCCATCTTAGACAGAGGTAAAAACTCTAGACGGGGAAGGAACTTCTCTTTTCGTTTCCAGGTTGAGCAAGTTTTCATTCTATAGAGGTAGTCAAAGAGGAATTTATCAAAGGGGGAAAGGGGGGAGTGGGAAGATTTTGTCATGACAAGCTTCCGTCTGAGAGAGATTTCTGTTAAGGCAGGTTCGATAGTATTTCCAAATATAGTAATATTCCAAATGATGGCTACATTTTTTGTATCTAAAAAAATTACCACAAGAGCAAACTATGCTCATGGACCTTGACATTCTAAATATACCTACCATGTTTTTGCAGCCTCATAACAATTTGACCTAAAATTTCAGTTCTAGAAATTTGGTTATTCTAATTCCCTTATTTTATTCCATCAAACATGTTTTCCACACTGCCTAGTGCAAGATTCCGCATACCCCATCAAGCAAAGTGACGTATGACACAGTCTTACACTGAGGAGTCATTTTGTACTTTATGGTCAGGACATGTTGAGCCGTTTCGAAATTCTAAACAGAGTAATCCTTAGACAATGATTTCAAAAGGATTATTTGAAAAAAACCCCACTTCTTTCAAAAAAGAATTGAAATAGCAAGCAGAACTCTTTGAGGGTGCATCATTCTTCAAAGACCTATTTCTGAAGAACACAAAAAAATTGAAGCTAAACTTCAATCAAAGTCACCACTTCACTCAAATACAGTCCGTGCCGGCTTTAAGCATGCCGGCCTTAAGCACGTTTCAGACTCAAGCACACTAAACGGCTCATACCGAATTTTTGCGATATAATTTACACGCCTTTAAGCACGGTAACTTCGGCTTTAAGCACGCTTCATTTACAAGACAGTCAATATTTTCATGATGACCCATCGAAGTTCGAACACAGTTTACATCGCAGCAGTGGAGTGTGTCAAGAGAAACACAAAGAACGCAAGTGATGGACACACACACTCACACGGGCGGAGAGGAAGGCAGAGAGATGCACACAGCCGTGTGCGCGGACATAGGATCTAGCCTAGGCCTGGGCAAAGCTACACACGACCAAAAAATAAATACAAAGAGAGTCGGGGAGACGAGAAAGGGAGGCTGGCTGCGATTTCACCTTTGTTGACCCTCGCTATCCATTAATCCTGATTGTGTATCATGCACGAGGTGGGATGAGGGCGGTGCTATGAGTGGCACAGCGGGGATTGGTACGCACAGGCAGTGTGTTACAGTAGGCCTAGTGTGCTGTATCGTGACTGGCCGTCTAAATTAAGTTTTCATTTCCCATTCGACCACAAAACAAAAACAAACAAGCGAACAAAAACTGCCATGCCGGGTGTCTAAATAACAGCGCACACTTTTGCGGGACCGCTATAGGCCTACTTAAAAACAAAGGGAAATAGCACGCGGAATTTTCTAGATGAAAATCTCTGGATTATGTCTACTTCGCACTTAGCACGCTTCGGCTTTAAGCACGCTTAAGCTTTCTCCCGATGACCGTGCCTAAAGCCGGCATGGACTACCCGTAAAAATCTGTGATATGACAATGAAATAAAAAAAGATGTCAGTTGAAAGAAAGAAGACAGTTTGCAAAACTGTTTTCTATTTTCATTTCTCCAAAAATTCAACAGACAGTATTGTGGAAATCATTGACCTTTATCAAGATCAAATAAACCATCACTTATTCCCCCTGATATCTTTACATCAGACATTCAGCTACTATCTCAAGAGTCAACATAGAGTTAGCAAACAGCAAAAAAAAAAAGATAATAAAAGGAACAACAATCTGACAGTGTTTGCTCCGTGTACAGGAGGGGAAATTCCCTGTTTTCTGAGCCGAGCTAATCCATAATATACACACATGTATAGAGACTCGTGGCATGTTTTGCACTCACTCCTAGGTGGGAGGCAGAAACTGGGATACCATCACCCCAAAAAAGGGAATGAGGAGAGGATAATGTGGCCAGACATGTTTGAGATAGGTCAAATAGAAAGTTTTAGAGAATTGCAAGAAGCTAACAGCACATATGTGTGCCAGTGCATGTCACTGTTAGCATCTGTGAGTCAATAAAAAACCCATTGGGTGTTCGTACTTATGAAAGCGCGTATGTTTTTTAAATGCACAGTTCTTACATTATATTTGAGTGCACGCATGTAAGTGGGTTGGAGAGTCAAGTATGGGTTTGTGCTCTGGTTTCTGTGCGTGTCTATTTACTGATGTGAACATGTGTACAAGTACAAGTAGTCGAAGTACATAATTTCCTTGCATGCCTGTAGGCCTATTTGAAATAGTGAGCGATTGTGTGTACATGTTACATGAGTATTAATTCATATATGAAAGTGTAAGAATGTGTTTGTCAGTGTGGGTGTACATCCCTGTAAATTGTACGTATGCCTAGTGAGTGAGGGAATACAGATGTTAAAAAAGGTGAGCATGTGAACTGCTGGGCCCTGGGGCTCCACATGCTATGCCTGATGGTGCCAAAGCAATTGATGTACGGTAGACTTTGCTTAAAACAAACCCATTAACATTCCTGTTAACACAAAAGAATTTCATATCTCCAATTTTCTCCCTTCTTATTTTAAGCATTGCAGCTCCACTAAAAATTTTAAAACTATATTACAAAGAAATTCCTTGGCCTTGATCTCCAGGGTTTTTTCATTGAAGAAACAAAAAATTAAAAAAACAAGCAAACAACAAAACAAACTACTAAAGAAAATATCCAATCTGCTCATTTAACATTTTGTTTAACAAGCTAAAGACAGTTTTTAAAATGTGTGGATTATATACAGCCATTTTCATAGCTAAGGCTACTTAAGTTTAGAGGACTAAAGTGTGCCAGGAGTCTTTGTGAAGCTAACTTTTGTTTGTTCTGAAGAACAACGCCACACTGGACACTAATCTGATGACTTATCTTCTTCGAGAGAGGACTTTTCCCACAACAAGATGTCAAGCTGAGACAAAATTTTCAAAAGGAAAAATGAGATAAAATCAATTCAGACTTCTTTTGATAAGAACTTTCACTTTCCTAAAGTTATCGTCAGGCCCGCAACAAGTGGGGCCATAATATAGCACCTAGCTAACAATAAGCAAATTCCAAATTAAAGGAGAGACAACCTGTCTAATACAGATAATAGTAAGATACCCATATTCACACTGACCCTTCAAAAAGACAGCAATTCCCCCTTCAAAGAAACAATCAAAGACAACAATAAGTACAATACTCTTTAGTAACACAGAGTAGGAAAGTACATGTATCTCAATTAAATTTTTTTGACCAAACACTGAATATGTCAAGCAAAAACAAAATAAACATAAAGTAAAACCAAAAAAAAAACCCCAACCAAACCCTGATTGAATGGCAATACCTTTCTGAGACAATCTCTTTTTCTTGCATGAGAGACCTCGACATCATTGTAGACATTGCAACTCTGATTTGACTTTGATTTTTGCCTCCTGTCTCCCTTTCCCTTGTGACAGCAGTTGACATCATTGTTGAAACTGTCGTGGTGGACAGCCCTCTGAGTTTTTGGTGAAGCAAGTTGGTTTGAAGTTTGGTCTTGAAACTCCTCCTCAAGCCTTCCAATTTCTTTGCTCAGATAAAAAACCAACTGCTCCAGCTGTTTCCTTGAAAGGGTCTTGAGTTTGGAAATCATCTGTAAAAATAATAACATCTGAGGCAAAAGGATAACAATGGAGTAACAAACATGAGCATCCATGCTTGAAAGTAATGCATGATATTCACTTTGACGAATGGTACTGGTACATTTTTATGTCCTAAAACTTGATTCCATGACTCCACAAATATTTTTTATTATTAAGTCATTTTGCCATAGTGGAAAAGCAGCAGTGGTGTTGGACACAGATGGGATATCTTCCTGGAAGCCTGTTTTATAGGAAAGGCTAAAAACTGTAACAATACAAGACCACTTCAACTCAATTTTAGCATAAATGAACAGAAAAACGCTTTAAAAAATTCAATGAGCAATTTAATAATAGAGATGATGTATTTGACCCTGCTTTGGAACATTGTAAAAAAATCATGTTTAAAAAAATTTTGCAGTTGGTCTTTATGTTTCTGACACCATCGGTGTGAGATATTCAATATTCATTATTTTGATAGGAACAAATAACACCCTAGAAACAACCTTAGTCCAATCCATCATGAACATGAAGCACATATGCAGAGAGAGACTTGCAATTCAATTATGAAGAAAATTTTGCACTGAAAAGCACTGTGGGATAATACACTTACATAAATTTTCAGTGGGAAAAGAATGATAACCTGCAAAGCAATTTCAAACCAATAGAAACTGTATTTCCATCCTTGTTTTTCAGACATTTTACCTAAACTTCTAAACATCTATCAGAACTTGTTCCTTCCCAAGTACCTTCTGTTGTAGCAACACACGTAATACTGGACACAAGAACTGCAAAACTTTGATAGCTATCAGCAAAGGTGTGCTACTAGTGTTACTTTCAGTGCTATTTTTTCATATTTTTTACTTAATTCCTGTTGTCTCTCATTTTTAAAAAACAATTTAAAAATTATCTATTTGTGTTGCGTTAGTCTACCTTGATTTGGCAGTGGTAAGACTGTGAAGTAATGGAAAGTAATAAACATCCTGAATTGATTCATTATCAACAAAAAGCTCAAGAATTACTAACAATTGTGAATATTATTATTCATAAAATCAATTGTGAACTACTTGAAAAAGCCTCTCCAAATTCTAGCCAACGGTGTATATCAGCCTTGGCCACACAGCCAACCACATGGTCAAAATTAATGGTTGCTAATTTAGTAACTAAAATAAAAACTAATTACTCCAACAAAATCATGACTTTTTTGGGCATTCCTCTCCAAGATGTGGTAAGTAAGTGTATCCAAAAGAATGTTAGCGTTAGGTAAACCTTATATTGTATTGTTAATTGTGTAGTAGACCTATGCTAAAGCCTTTGAACCTTTTTTGCACACAAAAGATGGCGTGTGCAAAAAAATTTGCACTTTAATAAAAAAGTCACTGTCAAAACAAAATGTGTTACAAAGTGGTGGAATCAGGCGCTCGTCAATTTGCGGGCATATAAGAGTTACTGTATCATCTTATTTGCCTTATTACCTTTGGTGCAAAAAGAATCCATCTCGAATAGAAGTACAGATAGTTGGTGGGGGTCGCTTCATTTCAGAGGTAAAATCAGTGACGAAGTGGCAGCTAAAGTTATAATGTTACTTTCATAGTTTGAGAGAGAGTCCTTGGAAACTGAAAATTTACATTTTTTGTGCCTTCAATCATCATTTTCCAGTAACATCCACACAGAAAAATGTGTTTTTAAATGGACATAAAAGGTGTTGCTTGAGCAACAAACAAAAAAAATCGAAAAAAAATTTCCCAATGGCCAGACAAATGCCAATTTCTTTGATTTCATTATAATTGACAAGCGCCTGTTTTCACCACGACGCATCAGATATAATATACATATGATAACTAACAAACATTACACAAAATTTAAGCGCACCTGTTCATACTCCAGGCTTGTTCTCATCTTTTTCTTCGATCCTGATGTTATTGAGGAAATCAAATTCAACGTCTTCTTTGGCCACTGTCTTGGGGTGGCTATTGATGAGGCTGCAGGAGAGGGTGACGATATTGGCAAAGTGGGGAGAGGGGACTTGGGCACAAGCGCAGCGGTCATATTGATGCTACAGGAGGGCATGGAAACACCCAGGGTGGGTTGGGCAACCTGTGGGAGTACAATGATGTAACAATGACTGGTGTTAGTCAGTGGACTGTACTGTATATTGTTCTATTTAGTGCTAGCGTTGGTGAGTCCATAATACTCAAATACTGCATCCACATAGTACTGGTCTTTTCTTATTTCAAGAATTTTTTCAGGTACACTGCTATGTTTAGTCGCATGTCCAAAATGACATGCGACTAAACGTAGAAGTGGGCGGATTACCCAGACAGACAGTACTCTAGAACTTTAGACTAGACTAGATAGATTCTATAGAGATTTCCTGGAAGAATCTATAGATTCTAAAGTCATCTAGATCTAGATCTAGATAATCTAGCTTTATCACTTGATCGACACTACAATTTGCACAGTACAATTCTAGATTTAGTAAATTAGGTTTTTTATTACTTAAGCACCCGTCTCTTGTTCACGACTTCTTTTCTAGTAGTATTTTGCATGCTAAACACGAGTAACACGAATGGTCTTCATTTTTGTCGCAAATCAATAATAGTTGAGTTATAATTGATGTTTGAAAATGGAAGTGGCTATCCTCACCCAGGGTGAGAATAAAAATACGATCGACCTCTCACCCCGGGTGAGACTTGCCACCGTTGGCTATTCTCACCCGGTATGAAACAAGACCTGTTTCTCCTATTATGGAATACTCTATCGGTGTGGATGATCAAATGGATAAAAGCAAAGAAAAAATTACGTTATAGCACAAAAGTAAGCTAAATTGATCGTCTACAAAGATGCTATGGCTATTTCACTTTTCGAATCGAGCCGAACTACGCGGGTCGCCATTTTGTTTTGCCTGGAAGTTCTTGCAAGATCTACTCTTCCCCTCTTCTCTCTCTCTGTCTCTTTCTGATTACTGTCTATCGGTGTGGACGATCAAATAGACCAAAATAAAGTTAAAAAATGATGTTAAAACACAAAAGTAAATTAATTTGGTTGGCTACAAAGATGCTACGGCTATTTAACTTTTCGAATCAAGCCAAACTACGCGGGTCGCCATTTTGCTTTGCCCGGGAGTTCTCGCGCTACTCCTCTCTCTCTCCACTGTCCACAGACAAACTTGTACGCTTTTAGGCTAACAGTAGCAATGGAACGTACAAGCTCACGGCACAGAATTGTACCAATTTTTCTGTTACCACAGTGTAGAATTTTGTGGTTCAGGGTGAACGCAAAATTGGTTGGCCTAGATCTAGGCTTTAATGGTTAACGCACACCAGGTGAGAATAGCCAAAAGACTCGTCTGCGCTATAAATATTCTCACCCGGGGTGAGAATAGAGGTGGCCTTGAAAATAGTAAATTTAACAATTTG